GCAACCCCAGCAAACCGGGTCGTTTGATCCCTTTCCCCACCATCTCTAGGAAACAAATGGGCCGAGCTCGGCGCTCGCTGCCATAAAGCCACACTGCGCTAATGCGCTTTCATTAAGTGGGAGCGATCTAATGATAATAAAATGGCACATTTAACATTAAAACATTTAACTTGACTCCTAAGCGAGTGTGTCTCTCCTCGCTGTTCCAGCTCCATCTTCATGAGGCTGACAAAGCTCCTTAATTTGTTTCCGGGGAGCGGGTGCTCGGCAGAGACAGCTTGGCACCGCGCGGGCATGGGGGATGCTGGGATGCAGGGATATAGGGATGCTGCGGTGTGGGGAGGCAGGGTACCAGGATGCTGGGATGCAGGGATAGGGGGATGCAGGGATGCAATGTGTGCTGGGGTGTGGGGATGCTGGGCTGTCAGGGTGCAGGGGTACGGGGGGAAGCAGGGGTGCTGGGATGTGGGAACACAGGGATAGGGGGAAGCAGGGGTGTTGGAGTGTGGGGATGCAGGGATAGGGGAAAGCAGGGGTGCTAGGGTGTGGGAATGCAGGGATAGGGGCATGCAGGGATGCTGGAGTGTGGGGATGCAGGGATGGAGGGGTACCGGGATGCTGGGTGCTGGGATGGTGGAGGCACAAGGGTGCAGAGAGATGGAGATGGTGGCACATGGGGATGCAGGGATGCGGGGATGCTGGCACGCTGGGGTGTGAGGATGCCACACCACAGGGGCACAGCTGCAGGCCATGCGATGCCGTGCAGGCACGGCCAGGACCCCGCACCTACAGTGCAGCCTGGAGCACGCCAGGGAAGCGGGTGATGGCGAAGGGGGCCGTGCTGTGGGACGGCTCCTCACCCAGGCTCAGCTCGCACAGCAGCTTCCCCACCACTGGTGCCAGCTTGAACCCATGGCCTGCAGGAAGGAGGGGGTGTGGGAGCGGGTCACAGCCACCCCTATGGCCCTGGCCAGCGCTGGGGTGCTGGGGAGGGGGGCTGGGTGCCCTCACCTACCTGAGAAGCCGGCCCCAATGATGATGTTGCTGAACTTGGGGTGCCGGTCCAGGATGAAGTCTTCATCCGGGGTGTTCTGGGGGAGCCATGGTGTGAGGGTGTGGGGGCCAGGGTGCTCTCCTGGACCCAAGGTTGGGGCAGGAGGGGATGGCAAGGTCCACCTTGGGGTGGAGGAGGGATTGGGACCCCGGAGGCTTGGGTCCTGCTCCTGGGGGGCATCTCACCGTGTAGAGGCAGGTCTCCACCACGGCTGGCTGGGGCTCCAGCCCGGGCAGGTAGCTGCTGATGAAACTGCTCAGGAGGGCAATGTTGGGACGGGGGGAACCTGGGGGGACCCGGTCCCGCTCCTCCGGGTCAGTGGGGCTGCCATGGTGGTAGCAGACCTGGGGGGAAGCCAGTCAGGGGGGGCTGGCCAAGGGATCCCCCTGCCACCGCCGTGCCCTGCTCACCTTGACCAGCCCTGGGTACTCGAGGGCAGGCAGCCCATAGATGCCGTGGGGGGCTCGGCTCAGCCCCATGGCCATGAAGCAGGGTCCGGCTCTGCCTGTTCCGGGGCTCCCTGGCTCCTTCTCTCTCCAGTAGCAGACGTCGATGCGCAGGGGCTGGGGTCACCGCGTTAGCCCTGACCGCGGCCAGGCCACCCCGCGGTGCTGCCAACCCTTACCTGCAGCGGCAGGCGGAGACCCAAGGGTGCCACGAGGGCACCTGTCCAAGCTCCGGCTGTGATGATGAGCCGGGGGGCTCGGTAGACCCCGGCAGTGGTGGTGACGGTGAGCACAGCCCCAGGTTCAATGC